GCCACAATGGTTAATGACATGAGCAACAGTGCCGAATAGTTGAAAGTGTACTCAATTATGTAAGTTATTTGATTTATAAATAATCTAATTTTGATGTAAAGATGATTCTGAGAGATTCTAGTTGTCAAAAAACTGATTAATTTATTTGGACAAACAAGTTTAGAATTACAAACAAATATTATAACTCTAATACCTGTTTAATTATAATTGGTAATACTTTTCTAAATGATTTTCTTATTTTTCCAGGTTGATTGGTTTTTCAGCCCTCCAGAAAGCAACGAACTTCCTGAATTAATTCCTGAAGTGACAACTGATGCGCCTGTTACGCAAACGCCACCTGCAAAAACTTTGCTATTAGAAAATGTTACAAAAGTGGAAGGTAATAAAATTAATTAAAAATCTAACAAAATTCTCTCATGAAATAATTGCATTTACAATAATGTATTTAGTTTATTTTATTTTATTTCATTGAGTATCAAAGATGATACCCTGATGTTTTAATATTTAATTCACAATTAGAATGATAGGCTTATAGTTTATTTATAGGGGCGACACACGGAATGTCGTCCATAGATGACACAAGTGAGATGTATGTGTATATGAAGGAAGGCTTATAGTCTAATGCACGTGAATTGTTCAAATTATGATATCACAATATTTTTTTAGCTGCGGCCAGAAACGGCAGAAAGTTTTAGGCAGGACTAAGACAGCGCCAATACCTAGCGTCCACACGGAAAATCAATCTTTTGGCGAAATGAGCGTAAGCGGCGATGGAAAAATTCAACGAAGCGACGACCTGAATAGTTTCAGAGAAATTTCAAATTCTGAAAGATTGAACTCTGCTTGTTCGTTGACCAGGGTGACAACGACAAGTACTCATAGCTCATCTAGTCACAGCAGCAGTACATATCACGAGGAAAGCAACAGCTTAATTCAGGTTTGTTTGAAATAATAACATGCAAAAAATATATATTCTTAGTATTTAAAACTGATCTCAGATACAATTGAGTTTAATATTTATTTTAACAATATGATATTTTGTTGCGTAAGATGCATTGCTTTCTTATATTGCAACTGCATGTGCAGAAGTCTTCAAGGTCGTGATTAACTATAACAATTTATTAAAAGTTGATTGGTCGAACTTACCCCAGTGGTAATTACCCGACTTCATTATTCAATATGAATGCAAGCAAGTATTAATCATGACCATTACCTGCTTGCATTCATATTAGATAAATGAAGTACATATATGTTATATGTAAGGAAAATCTGTGATCTAAATTATTTCAAATTATTTATTATTTAATGTGTGGTAAGTGCGAAGTAAGTAAAAGTATAAATAAAATTACAGTTTTTATCAATTAGAAGATATAAAATTATTGGTGAACAGTATTTCTATGATTTGCAATTATTCAAAAATATTTGAATATTTATTTTTATATATAGGACAGTGTGACGCATTTGTCGCACGACTTTCTGGCGATGCCTTGTTGCTCGATTACTACTATAGTCTGACATTTTGTCGGGTAAGATACATTGCGTTCTTATATTGCATTTGCACGAAGCTGAATTACAAATACCTTTAAGAAAAATTTAAACATAAGTAATTTTTTAACTTCTAAGTTGCACCAGTCATTGCAATACTGTTCCTAAATTGTTATTTTGTAATTTTTTGTTAACTTTTGAATGTTAATATAAATCAATTATTTGATCATATACACTTAATGCAGAACAGTTTTTCATGGCACACTGATGATAAATACCCACCTTGAAGCAAGTTTAAATGTTTGGCATGTTCACAATATTAATGGTATCAAAGTGTATTCACAAATTAATGCACCAATTATTATATATTTATCTACATATACAATGTTTTCGTGTACCATAGTAATAGCCATAGATAAACAAGTATAATGGTAATAGCATTATGGTTCAGTTTTTATTTAAGTAGTAAATCTACTCCTTTTTACTAAATAACAAAATCTAAATAACTTGTAGAACTTCTTTCTTTATTTTTAAGCTATACAATTTCGTATGAGCTACCGAGAAGAAAGGAAAATTTTAAAGAAAATTGATTATTACTCATTTCTTATTAATAAGGTTCAAAATATATTTTGGCGGTTAACAATTAAAAATTCAATAACATACTCTTGTATAAAGTATTAGCAAGTGCAGTCAAAAAAAAATAGTATAGTAAAATGTACATTAAATATATTTTTTCCTAAGTCATTTATATGTACATGCAATTGATAAGTTTTTTTTATAGTTATTTATAAGTATATCTACATATATGTATAATTAGATATTAATTGCACATATACCTGTATTTTACCTCATTTACTGAAGATTTGCCTGAATAATTACAAGACCTTTTAAACATAAAGATATATATATTATATATATATTTTATTTCTGTAATTTATCATATGAGAGGAATGATTTAATAATTATGATTTAAAAATATAAGTAATATCAAATTATTTTTTTATTTCAGGATGATAAATCTCAAGACAGTACGGAAAACAGGAAGAGTTTGGAGTTGAATAGTGGATGTAAGTACCCCATAATGACTATATAATTATCTATAGTGGAGCGAGGGACTATTTTTATTGCATATAATTCTTTTATTTTAAATCGATTTAATAATTGCCTAATTATTCATTTATCATATGCACGAAGTAAAAATAAACGAACTTAATGAATTTTAGACGTCAGATACTAGATCAAATAGGGCTGATATGAAAGTGATGCGAAAAGAAATAATATAAATTATGAAATTATTCAATTTAGATTATTTTCTAAATACATATTAGTGCTAGAAATAGGGCTTTATACCGCATTTCCATTTATTATGTCTATTTGTCCGCCCTAAGGGTCTATTTTCTTATCCTTTTATTTATGCTTTCATTCTGAAAAGGTTGAACTTTATTGAAAATCTTATTGTTTTTTATTTAGAAAAATTATTATATAATAGTTCAAATTTAAAACCGTTATTTTATTAATGCTACAGTTATAGTAAGTAGCACCAATGAAACTACCTTATCAAAATTGATTGCAAATTTTTAATGCATTTCAGAAATTTTAAATTGTTTATTCAATAAGTTTAATCATGGTTCATTTATTAACCGGTTATTTAACTGGTTCAAAATCATTTACAAGTTTCTAATTTGTCTATCATATACACGTTTTCTGTTTTATTTCATACATACCTTATATATATATATATATATATATATATATATATATATTTATATATATATATATATATATTGCTTTTTATTAAATAAAATAATAATAATAAAATTAGGAATAAAAATCATTAACTTCGAATTTTTTTTAATCCAGATAAATACATAGTATTTTTACTGACTTCGAAAACACAACATCGCATTTGTAAAATACAAATAATTGATATCATTGTGGTTTCTTAAATGTTGATTTTTATCGATCATCATTAGGTACCGTCATGAATCAGATACCTATAAGGCCACCACGCAAAAGGCCCTAAAATCGAAGGTACCATATTCGTTTGCACAGAACTTAGACGTTGACTAATGAAAACTTCATACTTTTTCACCGACTAACCAAAGCTAATTTTCCCATTAACGCTATATTAATTTGTTTAAATTAATTCCTGATTGCGAGATTTCTGCTTTGAGATTTGTTACATTTATCAAAAATGTGACGCTATTTCATGCATCATCAATGTTTTATAAGCATTCTTTTAATAATTAATTAAGCATTAAATATTTGCTGGTTTGCATAAATACTGTATCTGATTCTAATAATTTGTGCATTAATTTATGTTTATTTACTATCTCGTCTTTTTGTTAGCTTTATGGCGTAAATCTGGATATAGCTTGATATAATAACTTATAAATTTAATATTTACTGATAATAGTTTTGGTGTTTTTATATTAATAAATTTATTATTTTAACTTTATATGTTAACCTGTAAATTTGTGTGACTTGATCTTATTATAGTTGGCATCTAAATTTTCGTTTATATTTTTTTGATTGTAGATGAAAAAACATTACGCATATTCAACAAATATAAGACATAAAATATTTTAATTTAAGGGACTGAGAATATATAACGGTTTCTCAGTCACCTCATATTGTTATAATTTGTGTAGAAACCTATGTTATGTAATTAGTATAGATATTCGTGTCATTACGCACGTTGGTGTGATTCGAACTTATAACTATTTCTTAATTCCTTTAGGTTCTGATATGGTGTCCGACATTCAGTCAACATTCGATCGCCTCTTAAACTCGCCGACATGTTTAAATCCACTTTCTGGTCCTGATAACATACCTTACGCAGATGAAAGTCCAGAAAAACCTCACGGCTCACCGAGCCGACTTCGTGATCCTAGTTGGCATAGACGTTTCAGAAGCTCCTCCCATGGGCAGCATAATCAGCAACCTTTAAATACCTCTCTCATCTATGACCAGGAACATATAGATCACCCAAATCAAAATAAAATTCATGATCGTGATATCGTAGACTATGCTTCTACAAGTTCGACCATCTCCAGCCAACAATCCTGCCACAGTGTCAGCACCCAAAGTTGTGAGAGCAATGATACTATGGATAGCTTAAGATCAGATCAATCAGACTTAAAAGAAAATGATGATCATCAAAATTTACACGACGTATCCTCACAAAGCATATCAGGATCGGAATCTGCAACCAGTACTAATAAAAGCAAAGATTATAAAAACGTTTACACAGGGAATTTTTTATTAAAATCTCAAAGCAACTCTATGATACCTGTGAATGTGGTCAAGCCCTTAAATACTAACAATACTACTTCTGACGCTAATACTTTATCATATAATGTTTCTAAGCAATCTACGGTCCAAGAGAACATATCAAATCAGGACAGACCAACCGAAGGACCAGAATCTAACATAAATCTTAATATAACTTCAAATCAAGCGGGCACTTCTTTAACTTTAACATCTGAAGGATTATACAATGATAAATCTACAACAGTTTCAGTTAAGCCAGGGTCTTTATTTCGTTCAGAAAGTTTGAACAAACATGATAGAACTCAATCACCCATAAACAAACTAAAAAGATCAGAGAGTCTTAATAAAAAGGATGATATAAAACTAAAGCGATCAGAAAGCCTTTCCAAGTCTGAAAAGACTCAAACCAATTATAAAACCAGAGAAATGACACTTTCTAGTAAAAATTGTGGTAAAAAAGATACTAAATTGAAGAGAAAGAATGGTAGTCAAAATAGAAGTATAAACGTAGACATACTGTTGGAGGAACTAAGGACTATGTAACTTCTCAAGAATCAGAAGCTAGAAAAGAACAGGTGCGAACTAGTTCTCCTGACTTAAATTTAGGAACTTGCGCCCGTGACAGTTTTTTACTGGAAGTACGAATGAGAACTCCAAGTAACATGATTGCAGAAATTCGAGTAAGTCATAACTTCCTCGAGTCACATATATAAACACATTCTGTCTGCAAATCTAAATACTTTCTCTTTTCGAATGAAGAGTATTAAATAAAGGGTTTCATAAATATTTTTTGTGTCAATGTGATATCATCGTGTATATTTAAATGTAAGAGAACGTAATATAGCTTATGAAAACACAAAACACCAAACCATTGTTAACAATTTTTGAAAACATGTCAATTATTTATTGTTGCTTAAATGTAATTGCTAAAATATTGCATATCTTTCTAACACTCGGAACCAAGTTTAGAAATCTATTATAAATTAACTTATATTATATGTTTTGTTCATATACATATTTAATTATTTTCAATAATGAAAATATTTTATATAAAAAAAATATTAGGTATAAAAAAACCAGAATCAGATTATGTTAAGTGAATGAAAATGATTTTAATTTGTGAATTTTTTTTCTTAAAATTTATGTAATATTAATGAATGTATTCAAAGGTAAATGCTTGGGAAATAAAAGCATATGATGCTTTTTTACTGGATTTCACATAGAAAACTATCCAGCATTTAAATTTACAAATACACGTTAGGAAACACCAAATATTCATACATGTAATAAAAAAGTTACATTTTATGAACTAAGATTATATTTAAATTATTAATCACAGAATATTTGTAGAGTGTTTGGAGATGTATAAATTCAAGTATTCAATTATATATAATTGTAAAATTTTATTTAAGACTTTAAAATGAATTGATTGCAAGTCTATATGTAATAAATTTGAATCACGCTTTAGTTAGTATGAATGGGTTATGGCTAATTATAAGTGGTTGAATTAAAGGAAACCTGAAAATAAGTGGTTAACCAAGATTACATTAGTTTGTCAGTAGACTTGCCTGTATTAAAAGTTCACTAATTGTAAATATATTTTTGATGTTTTATTAAATATTTATTTTCAATACTACATGTACTTCCAATCTTATACATCATAGCCATACATAGGTCCTTCCATATACGCTTTATCCATATCTCTAGAATTTCGACGCACTCTCCTGCCTATTGGTTCTAAATCTGCATAGCATTTTGGAAATACTCGTTCTACAGCATCTATTGCTTGATCTCGAGTTACATTTCGTACGGCTAATACTGAGTTCAGAGCTTTTGTTTTCACACAGTTCTAAATAAACAATAAATTTCGAATGTATATTTTTTTATGGCCACTCTCATACGAGATTTTATTTATTACCTGATGAGCTTCTTTTACATTAAATATTGAGGCATCTCCTTGGCCCCATGCACTCAAGAACGAGCAGTGAGTTAAGTTAGCAGCCCTGATTTCTGTACAGGCTAAATGATCAATGTTCTTAAAGTCAAGTTCATTTCGACAAAAATCAAACATATGTATCATTTCATGTGTTAGGACACCTTGGACCATTCCTTGTGATCTAGCCACATTCTGACAAATAACTATCTACACTGACAAAGAAAACAATACATTAGGCAAAATAACATAATAATAATGCAAACACTTCTGCAAATGAAGGAATCTTATATTATATTATATAGTATAGAGTAAAGTTGACACTGACCATGAAAAATAACAGAAAAATGTGAATATGCCATATTCACTTTAATTTATGGACTCAGTTAAAATGCTTTCATTGAAACTAAAACTAATAAATTTAGTGAAAGCATTGTACTGAAGTCATTGTCAGAAAATGACTGCATTTGATAATTATTTTGCTTTTATAGAACATCCCAGAGCCATTGGAATTTTTTAGTTTCGACTAACAGCAATTTTATATCATGTTCCCAAATTATGAAATATATGCTTATATAAATGAATGAACTAAAAAATTTAAATTTCACCTGATTCAATTCCGGATCATAACCCCCACTTACAGAAATATCACAAACTTCACACGATATATGTCTTCGGATATCCATCTCACTATTTTATTGAGATCATTATTATCAAAAAAATAATCAATTTTTAAAATTAAATTACAAAAAGCAACTCACCAGCCGGAACTTTTCAATGCACCCATCATTAATTTTACGATAGGACCTTAAAAAAAATAGGTTTCTGTTCTATTATTGAATATGACATTTATTGTAAAGTATTTTTTCTTACTTTTCTTAATACAAGCAAAAACATTTTTTTCACATTTTAATTTATCTGTACTTTCTCTTCCTTCGATTCCGAGTATAATTTTTTTCAAACTAGGTGAATATTTTTGGCCTCTACGTTCAGGGTATAAATCGTATCCCCATTCTTTTTGTTCTGTACTTGAAGAACTGTTTGTATTTTCTGCATCCGCAAACATTTTATAGATTCTGGAATAATTTTATAATGGTGACATGATATCATAGATAAGAAAATTTGCAAGATATTATGCAAATGTAATGGACGCCAAAAAAATGTTAGTAGTTTTAGTTATCTTTTTACATTCATTAATAATTGAACAATTATATAATATAACCTATAATTCATGACATGTATATTAGCGGCAAGGGTTATAAAATAAGATTTATCTTAAGAAGTAACATATAAACGAAGTATATATACCTTTCCAATTAAAACTAATAGAATATAATAATGAGCGTATTCAACCCTGTTAAATTTATATTGAAAATTGTTATAAATTTAACCAAACTGTTTTAACTTGCTAAATCTATTTTAAACTTAATACACCGTCGTAAGATAATTTATATTATATTCGTCTAATCATAATTACTAAATAATTTAAAATTGCTAAATAATATATTGTCAAAAATAAAATTCAAATGTGGTCGCGCAGTTAACCAAAGTGACTTTTTGCTTATCTGTTTGGGACTTTAATTATGTGCAAATTGGGATAGATGTCCTTAGTGTCGCCTTCTAATTTCTTTCTGAATGTCGATAAGTCGATCAAAATGGCGGCTAAATGCAATGCGACATCTACACTAAACATGGCCAAGCATACTATTCAGTTTATTGCTGTTAAAGATGGAGCTGAAATGGTGATGTAAAATAGGTTTGTACACAAAAGAATTTATGTTTACTATGCCTTTTAATTATGCTACTTTATACATTAATTGTCCGGAGTAAACTATAATCATGAAAGTGTTCTTAGATAAACTCTTTCTTAAAAGGATGCCTGGCATCGATTGCAGTATTTTTGACATTGGGTTCATTTAATTATACATTAGATTTAATAAGCATATTTAATTTATATTTTTGCATGATGTATGTTTAAAAACGATTGCTTTTTAACGCATAAATATTTTAAAGGATCTACTAAAACAAAGTGAAAAGAACAAGCTGCAAAATGGGTGACATAAAAAACATACGCGTCGACAACTGGGGAATGTTTTTCCTTCAACGGCTTCAACAGTTTTTCAATAAAACTGATTATTGTGATTTGACACTGCAGTTTCATGATAATTCACAATTGAAAGTTCATCGCTTGGTTTTAAATGCTTGTACAGAATATTTTACTATATTGGAAAGAAACTGTGAAATGATTGATGACTGCCTTATCATGCCAATGGACTTGCAAGCAGACGTTGTGGTCCCTATTGTTAATTTCATGTATACGGGGCAACTAGAATTTAGATATAATATGCTTGATAGGTTGCAAACTACAGCACAGATTATGAACATTGCTATACTAACAAAGTTATTAAGAGCACAAAGAATACAAGCACCAAATGCTTCTAAACCAGTTTTACTGAACCATCAGAATCCTATTGTTTCTATGACATATAACTTACAAGGTCGAAATATTATCCAGAAGGTAGATGAGTATTCAAATGCTAGAAACATGAAAAGGCGACCAATGTCTTACGGGCTGGATAATATAACTCCGGAACCATTGAGGGTGACTAAACCTAAATTTTCAAATATTGTTGATAATGTACCTCGTCCTACAAGATTTGAAGCAACAGAAGTTGTTAGCGATAATACATTTGAAACTTCTTTTGATAGCATATCTTATGAAAGCAAACCTCTATCTATGCCAAAATTGGATAATAATTCAATTGAATCAAAAAATTCAAACTCTAACAATCCGTTTGAAGAATTGCGCAAGGGTTATGTGCAAAAACGACCAGCTCCTGCATCACCAACTTCTTCTGAACCTAAACGTGTAAATTTACAAGATGTCAAAGAGTATGTAGAAGCCCATCGGCTGCGAGCAAATTATGAAGTGGAAGAAAATGAAGATGACCCGGATGATGATAATTATCATGACAATGGAAATGATGATTATGATAGTGGTCAAGAAGAGGACCCAAATTCTAACTCACAAGAAATATCTACAGAATCTTCAAACCAAGCCTTACAGAATATTAAAACAGAACAGCAAAAAATAATAAGTGTAAGTCAAGACTCCAGTGCTAATCACGCTCGTATAATAAGTGAGGTTCTAAAGAAGTATCCACATATCATGAAGAATAATAAAAATATTAAACTTAAAGTAGTTCAGCAAAGATCAAGTGGAACGACAAAGCTAAATAATGATGATAAAGTTGTGGTTAGTGTAGCAAAAGAATGCAGTCCAAATAATGACGGTAAAGTTATTACACACAAAATAATAACTCCTTCAGGTCAAATTAAAGTTGAAGAACAACCTAAAGTAATTGATGCAAAAAAGATGCATGCCCTTCTTGCATTAGGCGCTGAAAATAAGACTGGTCCCTGGCTTTGTTTAAGATGTGGAACAAATGGTAGACCTATAAGTTTTCCTTCTTACCCCGTTTTTAGAAAACATCTAGTTCGAGTTCATAATGAAAAAATAGATGTAAGAATTTGTGAACACTGCGGTCATAAGTCCACAAAACGTAATTATTTATATTTTCATCTATATACTAAGCATGGTATTAAACCACCTAGTAACACACATTTTCCTAAATGTTCTCATTGTGATTATATAGCATTGAATGATGCTTTATTGTCTAAACATATATTAAATCATTCAAAATTGAATGAATTCGTTTGTAACCAATGTTCAACTTGGTTTAGGACAAAACAAGCATTGATAACCCATATGGCCCAAACAGGACACAAAATTGGTGCTACCACAAAGGAGTCCCAACAGTGCATCTATTGCAATAAAATGTTCTTACGTGAAGCAAACATGTATGCTCATGTAAAATCAGTTCATAAAGAACAAGCACGCAATGATGGTATTATTGAATTTTCTGATAATGAAGAAAAGAATTATACTGAACCTTCTATGGAAACTGTAGAAGGTAATGATAAGTATATCCCTAATGACCCGCAATTACAACAGAGGGGAAAGATTAAAATTCTTTCAAATATTGCTCTACCACCAGCAGTTTCAAAGGAAGTACAAATGATGCTTGCATCCGGACATCAGACGCATGTTAATACTATATCTCAAAATGCTACAATTGGCTCACAAATTGTAGGAAGTGATATCATTATACAAAATGCAGTAGTGCAAAGTTTAGAACCCAGCTCTGAAGCAGAGGCTTTAAACAATGTGGCTTCTGGAATAGCTACTAGTTTAGGTCTTGTGGATAGCATTGTTGTCATGGACGATCATTATGAAATATCTAACCAGAATGTTGACGAGAATCAAGACAATACTCAATTCCTTGTAAATCAAATGCAATTGGATGAAATATCAGAAGAACATATTTCAGAAACAATGTCTGAACATTCTCTTGTACATAGCAATGAATCCAGTCTAGGACAAGTTCAGGCTGAAATTCAAACTGGTTTCACAACAACAAAAATAATTACTCAGGGTAATGTACTCAAATTAACTGAGTCCCAGCAAAATGAAATAATAAATGAATTACAAAATTCAAACCATCTAACAAGTCAGAATAATGTTGTTATGGTTCTCACAGAAGATCAATTTAAACAGGTAAAAGAACATCAAATGCAAAACGATGAAAATATATATGTTGTTTATTCACAAGCTTCACATATTGATGTGAATGAAAAACAATATCTACAGATAGGAGAATCTGAAGAACTTCTGGAAGAAAATACAGAACTTTGTAATTCTATAAATCAGGAAACAATAGAAAATAATATTGCAGTACAGAATGAGGCTTCTGGACAGTGGCCTGAAGAAACAGTTGAAATGATATCAGAAGAGCTTAGAAAACAAATACAGCCTGATAAAGTTGAAGACTTGGTAAGTACACCTTTAATAGTCAAAGATGATGAAAATGAGACCCAAACATTCAACTTAGAGCAAAAAGTGGTTACAAGATTCTAATGAAACATGTATGGAAGGAATATTGCAGCATGATGTTTCTATGGAAAGTTCAGAAAAGAATGTGGATATTGTTAATGAAGGACATGTAGCTCATATTGAACAAGATGTAGCAGAAAGTTCAATTGTAACTGACTACAACGAGCAATGGAATGAACAAGAAATATCAAAAGATATTGAAGAAAATCCACAACATTGTGATATGAAACAGCAGATGTTGGATAATGCAGATGAAATAAAGCAATTTACAAATGACCAAATTTCATCCGATACAATAACTCAAAATGTGGAGAAAGAAGAAGTTGATCCTGAAAGTGAAATACCATTGCCTGGCGATAAAAATTCTGCTATAGTTAATTCATCCGATCCAAGTAAAATTAGTAAATTATTGGATGATTGGGATGAAACTGACAGTGCAGAGAAAGCTCTTGAAACTGAAGGACAGTCACAAGAACATCTTGGTACAACAAATGATCAAATTCACAAATTAATGGATGATTGGACGGAGGAGGATACAGCAATGGAAATGTAATTGATATGATCATTTATTGTTTATTTATAACAAAAATTGTAAATTGCATTCATTAAATCAATCACTAATAGTTTGTCTATATATATGTGCATGCATTTTTGTATAACATTTATATTTTCTTTATTTTAGTTCTATCATTTTATTATTCATGTTCAGAATATAAATAATAATTTATTAATTGTAATACCTAATGAATAAAATTTATTGTACTAATTAAGAATAGAAAAATATGAAACAACTATTGGCTTTTCTCTTCCCATGGTCTAGGTCCTCTAATACTTTGCCAATTGTCAATATCTAATTGCTTGATTTTTTCGTACTCCCCTTCTAATGTTACCGATCCAGGCTCCTTCATTTGTATTCCCATTTTTTTGGCTTCTTCCGGGTCTATCAACTTTTGCTTTCTAAATATATACCTGCAATAAAAAACAGTTTCTCATAAAGTAAGATTTCATTATTTTCAGTAGACACAATTCTAAATCTATAGGAAAAATATTGATAAATTAAAGTAAAAAATTTTACACTTTGAAAATGGCGCTATATTTAGTTACTGCTGCTGAACGATAGTGATGAATATGGCGCAAATGTATATGCAACGTTAGCGGTTCAACTGACAGGTGAACAATAACATTTAGGCCTATAAATACAGGCGTATAATATAAAATTTTAATTTGCAAATTAAAACTGACAATAGATAAATGCTAGAAATTAATAAGCAGCATTGAAAATGCCGTCGTTATGTATTAAACATATAATCAGCTTTAGTAGTGAAAATGAAAAACATCGCACAGAAAATTTATTATCCCTCAATCCAAACAAAACTTGGCGTTGCGAGAAACCAGGTGAAAAATGTGCTTATGTTTTATTACAATTAGAAAAGGCGAGCTCTATAACGGGTGTTGATATTGGGAACGATCATTCAGCATTTGTTGAAGTACTTGTTAGTCGAACAGGCGGCACAAATGATACATTTGAGGAACTTCTACCTATGTCATCTTTAATGACACCAGAGGAATCTCGAAATTCTACATTTACTAATAGGGTACGTATGTTTACAACTGACAAATTTACTTCCGAAGTACAAAGTAAGAAATGGGATCAAATTAAAATAGTCTGTACGCAACCATTTAATACACATGTTAATTATGGCTTAGCTTTTGTAAAAATTAATGGCAAAGATGAAGCACCTTTAAACAATTCATCACATACGCCGAGCACATTTATTAAGAATGATACAAGCAATAAAGTAATAATTGGTAGGTTTAAATTTCGAGAGGATTCTCCAGATGAAGCAATTTTAGGAACCGGATCACTCTTTGCTCGAAGAAAAGAGCTAAGTCAAGAGGACAAAACAAAATTAAAACCTGCAGCAGCAATTAGGGAGCATCACTGTTAAACTCAAACAAATCTAAACAAAAAAACACTTTAAATGATTCTAAATCAAAAGGTCATGGTACAACATTACAAGAAAAAATAGAAACTCCTAAATTGAATAGAAATCGTGAAGCTTTATTGTATAATGAAGAAGATGATTGTTCTAATGAGAGATTGAATAAACTGCTTGAAAGAGATCAAAATGCTAAATTAATGGAAAAAGAGAGACTGGCTAAAGAAGCTCAGAAGATGAAATTAGCCAAGGAAGCAGAGAAAAGCAAACTAAGTAGAGAATCTCAATCAACATCTTTTGAGCCCAAAAAGGCAAAAAAAAATGAAAGTCAGTCATATGATTCATCACCAATTGATAATAAACGTTTCAAAAAGAATGAAAATCATACAATGGCTACCAATAATTCTTCAACAAAGAAGACAAATACAATAATTGGACCATCAACTTCCAAAGGAGAATTGGAAAACAAACCTATGAAAACATCAGCTCATTCATCGAAAGCACTAAAAAATGATGGTGCAATAAAACGAAAAAAGTATAAACCATTCAACAAGCTGTTTGAAAATGTTGTCTTTGTTTTAAGTGGTTTTGAAAATCCACTCAGGTCAAATCTGAGAACAAAGGCTTTAGAGATGGGTGCCACGTATCAACCAAATTGGAATGATAGATGTACACATTTAATTTGTGCATTTGCTAACACACCAAAATATCAACAAGTTCGAGGAAAGGGTAAAATAGTGAAAAAGAATTGGATAGAAGATTGTCATTCTCAACAAAAATATATTCCTTGGAGGAGGTTTAGCTTAGTTCCTACAGATTTGAAAATGAATGAAAGCGATGAAGAAATTTTTAGTGAAGAAAGCATGTGATTATGAGAATGTTAGAATGGATAATATTACTTTAACAAAACCAAAAACTATTCAAAATTTAACTGATGACAAAAATGCAAAATGTGATCCATTTGAAATGTCCACAGAAATAGAAGATGAAACAGAAAAGTCTAAAGATTTCTTCAATGGTAAGACATTTTACATAGATGAAAGTGTAGGATCAGTAGCTTCTATGAAGCTAAATACCATTATCAATTTGCTAGGTGGCACTGTGGATAAAGTGTTAACTAGTGATATTGATTACAACATCACGGATAACAAAATTTATGATTTTAGCGAAGTAGTACAAGTTAAACCAGAATGGATATATGAATGTAATGATATGGAAATGTTTTTACCAATAAACCGTTACATTTTATAAAACTTATGATTCTTTAATTCATTTTTACCATGTACCTTAGTTGAGCAAATTCTTTCAATCCAAATGAACCACACACCATAAATAACATAAATGGTAAGCCATATTTTACAGATCTCCTTTGTCTTTTGTAGTAGGAACTAATAGTTTGTAATATATTCATTATCTTAAACAATGATTTAGCCTTATAACCAATGAAATATTTCAAAAGAAATATTTGTATTTATATAACGTACAACTATATATAACGAAAGCAATAATGTTTTCTTATATTCGATTTATATTATATATTATAAAGTAATGTGTTATACATTTTGAGATATAACCTAAAAATGTATTTTCCGTCAAACTGAACTGTCAATTTAAAATGGACACACTGTTATTATCAGTACTACGAAACAGGGACGCCCAACCTTTTACAGTTTTTTTTTCGATAGAATCTAGTTGTTCTTTCCCTGGAAAATATAATAATATTATCTATATAGTAGAAATTTGAGAAACGCTTTATGTGTAGTAAATTCCATATAAAATATTCAATAAATTTTATAAGATTACCAAATTTTAATAAAGTTAATATAAAACATTTTGATATAAATTACTCGCCCTAACTTGAGTATCATATATGATAAAATGTATTGTGCTATATGTTGAAAAATATTATTCTTCTTGTGATTAATTTGTTAAAATTGTTAGATTAATTTATATTAAATACAATTTATTGCTATGATAAACTTCCGGTGCTTAGGTTTCAACAGTTCTATTTTGAATTAAATAATACTGATTTATTCAAGTCATCAGAACAATTATTACATATTAACAATTATTTTAATTATTATGTAATATAAGTAGTTTTAAATTTATATATACAAACATTTATACTTACATATTTTTCGTTGTACAATTACAATATACATATTTTGATTTCTACAAATAATATACACAAATGTACATAAGTGTTACTCGCTCAAGAAAGATAATTTGATGATGTAAGGCCAAATAAAGGGGATATATATGGATTTATATACCTGTATTATAATGCTGTTCAATTTTAACAAAAAGTTATTTTTTGTTAGAATATATATTATAACAACCAACAACATATAATATTGTATTAAGTTGTGTCTGTCTATCTAGAAAGTCCTGCCTAAAAATTATTCAGAAATTATTTATGGATAGGTTAAATATCATTTTTTATGTGAACTGCGGTAATGTATTATCAAAAGTATATTAAGTTATTATTAACTTCCCGTAGGATAAGTTATAGTAAACGCAAAAAAATCGAAAATGAAAATTTTTGCGTATCTTGACGTTTTGAAGGTTCTGAATATTTTGGCATACATTAGAAAAAATGGATGTGTGTGTGTATGTATGTATGAATACAATTTTTCGTCCACGATTTCGAGCGCACGAATTAACCAATTTGAATGATTCAAAAAACATTCGATTCCTATTGATAGGGAGATGTGCTGATTAGTTTTTGGCAAATGCAGGTCCAACCGTTTTGGAGATACTGAGCAAAGAGTGCAGAAAATAGAAATTGAATTTTTGAGAGAACGGAGCATCCGATTCGAATAATCTGAAAATCATTCAATTTGTAATGACAGGGAGGAGTTTTTGACAAAAGCAGGTCTAGCCGTTTCGGAGATACCGAGCTAAATGTGCAAAAAATGGCAGTTTTTAAGAGAACAAAGCATTCGATTTGAATGATTAAAAAACTTTCTGCTTGTGTTGACGAAACGAATGATTTTTGGGATAAAAAAAAATTAATTATAATTTTTTTTGAATATCGAAAATAATTCGATTTTTTTATTTAGCTAAAGTTCTAAAGCTCAATTATATACTTTAAATAAATAGTTTTAACTTTGCAATTTAGTTTATGTAATTCTTATAAATATTAATAACATTGTCTATAGACAAAGTCCTTGGTCCTTCTGATCGAGTTTTGTTTATTTACTTTTCTGTAAACATATATAATACATTATTTATAATAATCTATTTGAAAATATTTATTAATTATTTATATTATTATAATTATCCTCTAATATTAATTGTATTGTAATATTTCATTACAATACGGAAAATTCCAGCAATTTACCCTAAAGCAACTAGAGTTTAATCACTCTTCTTTTATCTATGAGTTTAATAATTATTTTAATGTACCTAAATACTACATTAAATTGAAATTAATGAATATCGTTGAAATATATTCGAATATATTCGGAATAAATGTTAATATGCATGTAAAAGATTTCTTCAGTTTAATTTCAGTGTGAATATTATGAACAGAATTTTAGAAAACTGATTGAACAGATTTAAGGGATTAAAAATATTGTAAACTAATATGCAATTTTCTAATTAAAGATGGCAGTATAATTTTATTAGAAAATATGACCTTTGAATGTTATTCTTTACTCAACAATAAATCTTTCTGTTTTCAAATTCTTGTCAAATTATTTAAATTGTAAAGTTATAAAACAAATGAAAACAAAGCTAGAACTGTTAGAAATTGTACAGGTTTCGCATTTTTATTATTTTTGTTATTTACAGTTTATATAAATCTAAAGTGTGTTAATAATTTCCATTTTCGGCGTGAAAGTTTTTGATGAAATTATTTCAATGAATTTCACATAAAGAATAGTCGAGACATTTTCACGAAATTAAGAATGAAGCGTTTGCATCGCATTAATTAATCTAGATTTCTACTGCGTAATCAATATTTTCAATCATAGATTATAATGCCGATAAAGATGTTCGGTTCATTATCATAGTTTATTTAAATGAGATAATACTTATAGATTTTACGAGTTTGGGATTAAGACAATTGATTTTTTCGATAAAAATCTGTTCCCTTTGTGACAAAATCGAAATTCGTGTTTATTTTCGTGTCTTTCAATATTGCTTACAATTAGTACGCATAGTTACAACTTGACGGCGTTGTATGGCAAGATATTGTCATGGTGTACGAGAAAATATATTTCTCAATTCGAGTGTTCAATATTTTTACCTGTTGACGCATTAAATATTGCAATGTAATAAGAAAAGTGTTTTATTTGATTTCTTTATGTAATTATTTTTTTGCTGTTTAGTATATTTTTCATTTTTCTATTTTTCGTCGGGTTGATGCATACGTGATGTGAGTGTAATACTAGAAATGGAGGGCTTATCGACATAAAATAAACAAATTACATTTTACGTATCATGCATTTAAGGTATGTACTATAATTTCATCTTCAAATTCAATATTAATTTTGATTTGTGACGACCTTTGCATAAACTTGCTTATTATAGTTTTTGTGCTAATAGTGCGTATATTTTTGTTGATTGAAATATTTATTGGCCTGATTTCGAATAAAAGTGTATCATAATATTTATAATGGATCAATGAATGTTGCTTTAACATGTAAACAAATATAAATATGTTTTATATATAAATAAGAAAATATAAGATATAGAAGTAGATCAATCAGATGATATATAATTAACTGGTTCAATAGTTCGTGATATTTTAATCAGTTGATTATATGATGCTTCAATATCAAGATTTTATTATTTTTAAATGTCAGAAATACTGTGTCTTATTTGTTTTGTATTTGTTCCAAATTTGTGGAGTAATTTTAATTGATAATAGTTTTTAGGGTTAACATAAAAAATTGTAGGAATTTTATCAGTTTCATAAAAATGAAGTTCTATAAAGATTAAGAATGTTTATTAAATCATCTATAACTAGCCTCCTCCAGATAAACTTATATATATATGTATATATACATATATATATATATATATATATATATATACATATATATATATATATATATTATATTATTTATTTATTTATTTATTTATTTATTTATTAACTCCTTTGTATTTCAGATGGCATAAATTTTAGTTAATACAATGTCAGTGAGAGTGAATTTTGAAATAGGCCACGAGGCCTCAATTCGAAGTAAACGCACCCTCGAAGGTTTCACACATGACTGGGAAATTTTTATAAGATGTTGTGATGGAGATGCACAACACTTTATTGAACGAGTTGTATTTCAGCTACACGAAACATTTGCTAAACCAAAAAGAAGTATGCTTTGCTAATATGAAGTCTATATTTTATATTTTAATTTACTTACAGTTGTAATCATGTTTTTGGTGAATAGTTTGTCATTTTCCAAATTCATAGCTTAATGTAGTATAAGCATTGAAGTAGTTAAAATGAATTTCAGTTTGTATAGAGATTAACAAACTAAATATTTGGATTCAAATATTTGTGTTAGGTTTATATATATATATATATATATATATATATATATATATAATGCAAATTCAAACTATATTTAAAATGGAGTAACTCATTGCATTTCTTTAATAAAACTCTTTATAATTAGCCATATTCCATTCATCCTAACTAAAATTTCTTATTTAAATTGATTACATAAAGACTTACAATCCAAGACTTGAAACTTTATGCTTATATATAATATAATGAATTTCTACAAATATTCTACATTCCATAATTTAAACATGAACTTAATTTATAAAATGTAACTTTAACATTACATGTAAATATTTGATGCTTCTTTACGCGTCCTTGTAAATTTAAATGCAGAATAGTTCTTACCTTTGATCTGTTTATTCATATTTTGTAAACATTGAGGAAAAAAATATCACAAATTCAATATCGTCTTCAATTACTTAACAGAACAATTCTGATTTTATGGCTTTTGTTTATAATATTAATATAAACATATATAAAATATTGTCGTTAATGTTTTGATGTTTGTTCGTTCATTGATGTTCCACGGGACTTGGTTTTGATGTAGTTTCTCATTATTGGAGCAATGTACCACCTCATACATTTATTCAGTTTAAGCATAAACTACCTATTTATTTTACCTAATCCTTTGTATTTTTTGAGAAATTTTGCTCAGATTTTTGGTATTCCAACGGGGCCATTTCTCAGTTTCTTTGCTAATTAAATTTATTAATTTCTGGTAGATAATGATTGTTTTTTTCATTCTGTTTATCTTTAAAATTTCTATTGTTGTTTTACTAATTCACAGAGCTATGTTATTAAGTGTGTATATATAAAATAGGCTTAAACTAATTTCTTAAAAGAAAGATTTTTTATATATATGAACAGAATAATGTGATAAAATGAACTTTATGCTTTATATAAATATTTTTTCTTGTATTTTAGCGATTAAGGAACCTCCATATACTTTGAAGGAGTCAGGTTATGCAGGATTTGAAATACCTATTGATATATATTTGAGAAATAAAGAAGAGCCTAAAAAATTCAGTTTAAATATGATTTGAATTTACAAAATGATGGGCCTGCCATAACAAAAGTACAAAAAGAAAAATATGTTTTTCATAACCCTTCTGAAGAATTTAAAAAAAGACTCTTGAGAGGTGGTGGTATTCTTGTAAATAGTAGTATAGAAACTGATAAAAATAAGGAGTGTGATAATAAGTTGCAACTTACTGGCAAGCCAAAATCAGGAGCTGATATGCTGAAAAAGCACAAACCTAAAGATCATAGATCTGAAGAACCAAAATTGTCTAGCTTTGCACATTTATTCGGAACACCAATAAGCACAGGATCTAAGGCCTCGCCTGATCCTAAGAAAACATCTCCAATTCCACCTAAATCCAGTACAAATCCTTCTTTGAAAAAAGATGATAGGGCTTTGAAAGAAAAACTGGATAAATCAAAATCAAAACTGAGTCCGTCAAAAGAAAAAGATAATTTAAAGAGTAAAGATACACAAGATAAAGTTAGAGAAGATAAGAAGAAAGCACATAGCAAGGATAGAGATAGAAGCAAAGAGAAAGTAAATAAATCGGCTATAAGCCCAAGACCGAAAAGTCCAAAGCATATAAGCCCATCTCTGTCCAATTCTTCTGTCAGTCGTTCTGATTTGGAACAACAAAAAATTAAGATTGATGATTTGAAAAAGACCAATGATATAAAAGAGCGCAAAATAAAGAAAGATAAAAAGGGCCATGATAGAGACAAAAAGGACCATAAAAAGGACAGAGAGAGGGAAAAGGAATCATCCAAGGAAATTAAAGTAGATCAAAAATCTGTAATCAAAGACAAAGATAATGCCTTGCGAGATACTATGATTAAAGAAAAGCCTAGGGAAAAAGAAAAATTAGTTCCGTTGAAAATGAATGATGTTCCAAAATTAGATCTTGATCCTAAATTGCAAGAAACTAAAGGTCAAGATAAAAAAGAATTGGATAAAAGACATAAACATAAGAAAAAGGATAAGACTAGAAAAGATGATTCTAAAATAGATAAAGAGAAAAGAAACAAAAATGAAAGGAATTTTGCAAGTAAAACCAGGGAAGAAAATGATTCTGTCAATGCAGATGATGTGGTCATGAAGATAGACAATGAAAATGTTCATGAAACAAATACAATAGAAAATTTAAGTGATCAAATTAGCAGTGATTCAGAAGAGTCTGTAAAATCTGTTGAGGAACCAATCAAACCTAAGCCTGAGCCGATAATTAGTAGTCCTCTAAACGAGTCACATTTTAATAGTATGGATAAACAGAAAGAGAAGGCTGTGAAAAAGCATAAGGAAAAAACTAAATGTTTTGAGAAAGATGATAAACGCAAGAAAAGGAAAAGCAAAGAGGATTACATTGATAAGTCCAAAATGTCCTTGCAGCCATCAGCAAAGATTCAAAAGATGGAAGAAGATGTTAATTCTGATATGGATACAGAAAGTTTAGATGCTAATGAGAATAATGAACAAATCCACTTAGACAATGAGTCAGTCTCTATTGAAATGAGTGAATCGGCTGATGTACCCTGCAGTCCATTACCTGAAGAGAAGGCATTCACTCCTGATTACATGTCTGAGTTGAAAGAATTACAACATAAAATAATGACATTGCAAGACAACACTGAGATTCAAGACATTGTTCAAATGGTAGTTGAGACTGGCCAATTTGAAATTACAAAGAAAACATTTGACTTTGATTTGTGTACGCTTGATAGAAGTACAGTACAGCGATTACAGGAATTTTTTGCTAGTTCATGACAAAGAACATGAGAGATATAATACAGAGAATAAATTTAAATTTATGTACAGAACCAATAATTTAATCACAGAATATTATTACAGACGAAATTTGTACATAAATATATAATAGCATATTTTATTATGCTGAGCGTATGCGGAAACCTGTGATTTTTCAGTCCATAGACTATAATGTGATTATTATTTAATAATAACACTTTGTAGAGTACCAATTTTTTGTATAAGGTCAATTTATAAATTATTTACACACATCTATAGAATCAGATATTTAGTATATGATTAAAAAGATATAACAATGTACATTAACTATTTATTTTACATATACATATTTCACAAAATTATATATATAAAATATCTAATATGTTTACTTATAAAATTACATACATGATATGTAATATTAATTTGAAGACACTGAATTTTTTTGTAGTGTCACGCAATATTCTAGCTTCAAATTATTTTGTGTTATAGATAAATGTTTGTCGATTTTCTATATTAGGTTTCATAATACAAATCATTTTTATTTATGTAAATTATTTCATGGAAACATGTAACATATAGAAATTTATGACTGAATAATCTTATTTTCTTGATTTTTGTTTCAAGTAAATGATCTCATACTCATTGTTTTTTGAACTAAAATTTTGAATTGTGTTTTTTATTCTTAACAACCTGTGTTAATTTTTTAATTATTGATAATAATTCGTACTCAATTTATTTACTTATACTTTGATTTGTACTGTTCAGACACTATATTTGAAAATATTCATTTCAATAATATTGGAAAGGCGTTTTATTTATTAGATAGTGTCTTATATAAAGTTTTCATGCCTCTATTATGACTTTGTAAAGATTAGTAAATAATTTATTATAATTATATATTTATGGCAGTATATTTGATACTCGTTAGGGTATTTAAAATTATATGTTTATATGATTCTGAATTAGAAATTGTTGCAGTTGTAGTAGAAAAATTAATAAAGTTATAGAATTTGATGTGGTATTTCTAACTTTGTAGAAAATATATATTCATGCAATTGTAATGCAAATGTTTTTACTAACTTTAATTGTGGTTTATAGCTATTAGTCTTATATAGATGAAAAAATAAATGTGCAATATATATATAATATATATATATATATATATATAATACTAATAAATAATGGTCTGCCGAAGGCAGCTCCATATATATATTACATACAGATATATTTTGAAAACATCTTAAGTGCAAAATATTTTAAAACAAATTCAAAAAGGTGAAAATTAATTATATTAATAGCAATCAAGATTGAATTAAGAACTTTATATTATCGTATTATACATTCGTAATGCACAATACTCTCTAACGTTTAAGTTTGTTAGTATGCATAGAAAAATGAGTCAAACTGATTAAAACCTAAAACAGAAAAGCCTAGAAACAGTTTTATATTTATTTTATAGTTTTAATCATTTATTGTTCAAACAATCTTTCAACGAAGATGTTATCCAAATTATATATGTATATAACTCCGAGTGATAATTATATCATTTTATTAACTTTGTTAGTATGTTTTGCTTACATCATATAAGTACGGCACGTAATTGAAAGATTAATGTAAAATTAAAAAGTTAAAAAAA